CTGAACCGCATTGAGAAGGCGGCTCATGTCCCAGGCACCAGCGGGGAGTGCAATGGGAGCTCTGAAGCTGGGTGAAGCAAGGCTTGGTCAGGGTTGGTGAATCACTAGCAATTTTTCTAATGGTAAATGCCACTTTTGCGAAAACCAGGGTTTTCGAGGGAAAATTTTCACTTTTCAGTAGCTGAATTTTCTCATCTACCATAGGTAAAACAAAACAATTTCATTTTGGTAGCCTGCTCCACGGACCTTCACATCATCTCAGCTAAGCTGGGCACTCTGAAAGACCAGCTTTCCTCAGTACTTGCTGTGCTGTATTGTGTGAATCCCACGAATGCTGACACATCATAGCAAATACAGCTCCAGCAGGGACCCAGCTGCACGAGCCAGATGCCAGCAGCAGGTTGGGAAATCTCGGAAAGAGTTGAAGGGCAGTCTCAGAAATAACGCACATGTCCAAGCAGAAAGGAATGAAGACCCATGCGTGTGTGGGGTCCGTACTAAGCTGGAAGAGCTGCATACTCTTCCCCAAAGTCCAGGAAGAGCTGTGAACGTGACCGTGCTACCAGTTTGTGGACGATGGGCAGGAGCCCTCAGCAAGTGCTCTTCCCCTTCCCCAGCACAGTGCTCTCTGCCAGCAAACATCACTTCTGCCATAGCTGAGATTAGTCAGCCAGCCTGTTTGTTTTCATAGGGATGCCTGGCTCAGCCAACGAGTGGGCTTGCAATAACGTTGTTTAACCTGGTTCCACGGAAAGGAGGCAACGCTGTGTTATCCTCTGTGTCAGGGTAAGCCATTGTGCCTGGGTAAGTCTTCCCTGGCACCTCCACATCCACATTTGAAAACAAGAAGAGGTGAGACGAGGCAAAGCTCTGCAGGACCTTGCATTGGTATATCCTGTAGGGGAAATAACAATTGCCCAGCAGCACACACAGCGGACAGACCAGGCTTACCACGGGCTCACAGCTCCTCCAGGCAAGCCAGCGCAGTGGTATCACCAACATCCCAAAGACATAGCAAGAGCAATGGGAGCTCTTTGCAGTTGAACTCAAATTTTGAGGTCAGTCTGGGTTTTTATGCCACAATCAGGACAAAACCATAGTAAAATAAGTAAAGAAGCATGTGAAATCCAAGCATAGGTGATCACAGGCCGTTATTCCCTTCTTTACAACACTCTGCAATGGGTGATTTGAAAGAAGATGGTTAATTGGTCATGCTCCGCTCCGAAGAGGCACAAGTCTTGGTGCTGAGGGGAGCTCCACCACTCCGGTAGCTTCTAGCAAGGGCCTAAACATTTCAATAACAAGCAGAAGTGTGGCTGGTGGGTTTCTTGAAGAGAAACATTGTTAATCATTTTCAGTGATGGCCTTGCACCTCTCCATGAATTTAATTCCACGGCCACAGCTCTCTCACCAGGCCCGAGACTGCACAGAGACAAACCAGCTGCAAGCCAACCTGTCAGACATGCATGGATGGGGATGGTCTTGCTAGGGTCAGCCATGCGTGGGGAGCAGAAGCTGCATGCCAAATTCGCTGCCTGCCGGAGCAAAGACCTTGATGGAACCGGTGAGAAACCTGCTGCAGGTCTGACAATGCTCCCACCAAGCCTACATGTATCACTTGGGTATCTGCAGGTCAAGTGCACGCTGCAGCCTTCCCCCACCCCATCCTTACCTCAGGGGACGTCCACAACTGTTCCTCCTAGCCCTGCCTCTCATCGGGAAGGTGACAACTCACTACCACTAATGGCATTTACTGGATCTTAGCCTTTCTGAGATCAGCCCTTGCGTGCGCTGCAAGGAGCAGAGCAGGTGAGAGGAGCACCATGGTGGAGGGGGATGAGGAGGACAGGATTTGAGACTGACAGCCTTACTGCCAACTGCTCAGTTGTGTTCCCAGGTTGCTGCTTTTAACAGCAAGCCACTCAAGAGCCCCAGCTCCAGGGACTGCACAGCTGGCAAAGGGCAAAGGCTATCAGCACAGGGTGGTCCTCCTGCTGAAGACACAGACCCCAGTGTGGAGGTTTCTGCGTAACACGAGGCGGGCGGCAGGTCAGGATCTGTCCCATGCCATGTTCAGAACAGGATCTGCATTTCAGGCCCTTCTAGAAAGGTTTCATCCTCTTGTTTTCTCAAAACCTAAGAGCCTCTTCATCCTCCCCACCGAAACCGCTAAAAATTAATTGTTCAAGTTGTATTGTTAAAGGTTATTTGTCATTTAAATCCTCACAATACCTAAGAGCCCCCAGGCACTGCACCCCAGCCAAAGGCTACAAGCTGTCCTGGAGTACCTCGGTGCCACTGTCCTACAGACCATGTTACACAGAGGTGGGCTGAGAGCTGCAACCTGTGCTCATGAGAATAATCAGGATGGGCATGCGACTACATGAGCGTGGACAGCCTGCAGCATCACTGCAGTTATCCACCTAGTCCCATCTGTTACCTGCTTGGGATCCCTGCTCATAAAGAGACACAAAGCTGGGCCACAGTTATTCCTGGTGGGACTCCATTGACATGGGAGGTGGTACCAGACCGTCATCTTTCCCCTGTTCTTTCATCCAGAAGGCTCTGGAAGGCAGTCGGGAGGCTGCAAAACACTGCTCTCTACTTCACATCCCCACACTGGTGTTTGTCTTTGCAGGAAGAAACATTTTAAGCATTGCAAACAGAAATGGTAAAGACAGTGCAACTGGAGAAGAACAGCAGTCAGTTCACTGCAGGTAGCCTCTCAAAAGAAAATACCTCTGGGCCAAATTCAAACCTGGTGTAAACAGAAGGCAATCTTCCAGCAACAGGGGGATTAGCCCCCACTCGCACTAGCTTTGACTTTGCTGCTTGAAGTTTATATCACTAGAGACCAAAGAATATACTTGCCAGACAAGAATAGGAATCATTAAGTCTGTGGTCCAAAGTGAGGCGCTGAACCATCTCAAAGAGTGAAGCGTGGTCAAAGTTACAGGGATTGGAAGAGATAAATTCATCCATGCCATGCTTTTGAGCTCTATCTGCATCTGTTCATTTATACATATAGAGAAAGACACCATTTAGAGAGATATAAGACATTTTAGTTGACAAATACAACAGAAAAAAATATACAGTATGAAGCATGAAAGCTAAGTATCTCCTCTTCCCTACATTGCCATTAACTTTTCTCTTTGCAGGCTACACAGTACACTTTTCACCTCCCATTGTCAACTTGCATCAGTTACGGACTATCTTATTGCATTTAGGCAAAAGATTTTAGAATTAACATCTTGTCAACTGCTCATTATAGTGCATTTATTCTGTACTTAAAACCAGAACACAAACCCAAGAGCTAACTCTGTATCTTACAATACACTACGAGTTAACAGAATTTTGGCTCACATAAGTAAATTAGCTCCTATTTAGTTAGTTGCGGTTAATTATAATAGATTCTGCCATTCTAATGAAGTTACAGCTGTAGCATTTTTCTCTACATGCACTAGGTTTTCTAGGTATCAAACCAGTTATGTTGCTCTTTATCCAAATGCCAATGTTTGTCTCCCCGCGGCAATTTTTTTCCTAATGGCAACTTCAAATGCTACCTCACCGAAATAAAAAGATGCTCTTTTAAGCATTGCTAAGAAGTTAAATTGATACGTAGTTTGTTGTCACTGAGGCAGTAACCCGACAGTGCACCGGAGCTGCCAGTCATCCCAACGGAGGGGCTGAATTTCCCCTGCCTGGATTACAAAGTGCCATTTTTGGGTGAATTAACAGCCTCAACATATTCACACTTCTCTGCTTTGGGTGACGCTTACGGGCACTAACTCCCAGGGGCTAATTAATTAATCTCAACACGGTTAACTAAAAATACACCAAATTCAGCAGTTAAAATGAAGCCGCCAAGCCGGCCTGGGTGCGGCCAGCCGGGACCCCGCTGGGAGCAGGCTTTGTTCTACCAGCGGCCGGGGAATTAAAGGACACCTTTCACTTGGTTTTGTCCGTGCTCAGCTTCCTACTATATGGGTTCTTGCCAAATCCTCAACAAAGAGAATAGGATTTAAATCCTTCCCCTGTTTATAGCCTCCTAGGGGAACTGGGTGGCCTTGAAACAATGTAGCTGAAAGGACACAAAAAATGCAGTTTTCCGCAATAGTAGTATATGGTAACTGTATTTGTTTTGAAACAAAATCCCTCTTTACCAGAAGAAACAAAAATCCTTATGGGTTCTTGCCAAATCCTCAACAAAGAGAATAGGATTTAAATCCTTCCCCTGTTTATAGCCTCCTAGGGGAACTGGGTGGCCTTGAAACAATGTAGCTGAAAGGACACAAAAAATGCAGTTTTCCGCAATAGTAGTATATGGTAACTGTATTTGTTTTGAAACAAAATCCCTCTTTACCAGAAGAAACAAAAATCCTTAATTAAGAAAAAAAAAAAAAAAAAAAAAAAATAAAAGGAGCTTTAAACGATAAAGAGATAGTGTTCTTTTACATACGTTTTACTATTTAATATTAAGCTGTGAAGGATGGCATGTCTCCCTAAATACCTTGTTCATGTCTGTGCTCTCAGATATTACTGATCACTGGAAGCAATCTTTACATTTTCTGTATAGTCTGTCGTTAGCTATGTATGAACTATACAAATAACATCACCCACTGGAAAGAAATCAGACAAATTAAAACCTGTAACATTTCAATTAGCCGCTAGCAATACTTAATTCAGCAGTAGCTGGCAATTTTCCTCATTAGAACCCTGCTGAATAAACACTGATTTTTTTTCCTTCAGCTGGTTGATTTTTGAGGGTCCGCTCCGCTGTTCCACGCCGTGCACTGGGTCCTGCTGCCTCCCCACCCCGGTCCCAAATCCCCGCTCCGCCT